CGCATAATCAAGGAATTTAGCCCGCATAATCAAGGAATTTAGCCCGCATAATCAAGGATTTTTGCCCGCGTTTTTCTGGAGGGTCTAATTGAGGCAATAAATTGCTCAGTGGTTGCTATACAGAAGCTGGTTTCTCCTGCTCAAAGAGCTATGCCTGAAGTCACACGTACCAGGATGCATTACACGCTTCATCATGGCATCTATGTGCCCACAGAAGCTGAGAAACGGGAAACTTCTGGAGTGTGCATACACACACGCATGCCCAAGGAGCTGTCCAGGACTACAGCTCCCTGGCTTTTGATGAAACCATCAATGATGAGGTTGGAGGCAGGGAGGGTGGAGCTTTGGAGAGGGTTGATTTGGTGCCAATGAGCAGGGCCTCTGATTTGCTGCCGTTGAGTTTCAGCAAGTTGCTGCTCATCCAGCTCCTGGGGTCCTGGTGGCAGGTGGTGAGAGAGGTGGGGGGAGGGCAGTGTTGAGTTTTGTGTATATGTAGACCTGTGTGTCATCGGCCTAACAATGGAAGTGGACATTATGATGACGGAGGATAGTGTAGTGGCAAATTTCATATGTTACCTAATATGCTCACCCCGTTTGTGTCCGAGTTCCATTNAACCCCGTTTGTGTCAGAGTTCGATTCAGATTCTGACACTGCAATATAATCTATGATTTCAGTATCCCCTCTTCTTATGCTTACATTGTCTTGGAGTCTGTCCTCCACAAAAAACAGCTATTTTCCATGATATGTTTGTGACATGTTTACTTAAACCAGCGATTGGGTGTATTCATTGATGTGTCATATCAGTCTATCCTGTCATTTGTTTTATTTTCATGATTGATCAAAGTATGATCAAAAGGAGGGAATGTAGTGGCAAAGTTCATATGTTACCTAATATGGTAAAACCAAATGCAGCAGTTCCATGATGATTTATTCAATTCATGTCCCTTGCTAGACTTATGATTTAACCTTAAGTGTGTCTGGGCGTTAAACACAGTGTCTTGGACAAGTTCCTGTGTTTCTTCCCTGTTCCATAACAAGTTCCTGCTTTCCCCACTTCCATCTGTCTTGAACAAGTTCCTGTTTTTCCTATATTAGCAATGCACAGTTTCTGTTCCTCTGGAAAGGTCTTGCTTATCTCTCTTTCCAGCCCAGTGACAGGTGATGAAGTGTTGTTAAACTGTCAAGATCCTATGAAACTCATACACACACTTCCCTCTGTGTGCACTCTTGCAGAATACTCTGTACTCTGTGAGACCTGTACCATTGAAGCGCTTCAAATAAAGAACCAACAAGACAACCCTGTTTATTTCACCAGTTTATTGATTGATCAATCTGATTGTACTTCGCCACAGTATTGACGAGCTGTAAAATATCTGCAACAATAGTGCCAAGGGGGAGGTAAATGATGAGCAGGAGTGGACCCAGTACTGACCCCTGAGGGACAACAACATTTACCATCAGCACAAGAGGCTCATTTATCTTTTAAGAACCCTGCTCCCAGAATTACACATTTTATCAACAGCTTTAATTTCACTTAATCATTTAGATTTCCTGTAGCTACTAATAGCTAGAATATGTAAGGGATAATGTGCAGCGAGGCGGTCATTATGGGGAAAATCACACCCGACAGGGTGATCACAGTGCCCGACGCGAAGCGGAGGGATCTTGATCAGCCTGAAGGGAACTGCAACAACACAAACTTTACGGCAGCGCTGTTGGATGTTTTCTTTAACTGTCAGTCTGTTTACAGTTTCTGATCCACCAACAAGTCCTTAAACACTACAGAGCCCATACCGTGTTCCTGTTGGTGTTTACTTCCTGTCTGTAGCCCATACCGTGTTCCTGTTAGTGTTTACTTCCTGTCTGTCCTCTTCTGATCATTTATCTGACGGCCATTGCTCCGTCTTTTAACCTCTTTTCCTTTCTCTCCCTTGATCCTACTTAGCAACGGTCATTATAGTGCTTGACAGCGGTCTACTACTGTATTCACAACCTGTCACATGTCCTGAATTGACCAATCAGAATCGAGTATACAACTAAGCTGTGTAATAAGTAATGTTATTACAAATAATATCAAATATTCTTGTTTATTCCTTACATTTAGTTATTCCGTTATTAATAAGCTCTATTGTCAGCTGCTGTTGAAGCTTCTATCTGAGGGTGTATTCTGACCTCTGTGTTTTATTTCAGGTGAGGGGAGTTCATCTGTGTCCCCTCTGACCCCGGGAGACCTGCTGATTGCCTTGCACAACATAGACTCAACCAAATGTGACATGAAATCTATCATTAAAGGTCAGTGATTAGGAGTTTAATCCAAACAAGACCAAACAGCAGTTGGTAATTCAATCTGATGTTACTGTCATCTTTAATGCAATGTTTTGTGGAATATAATTATTTAAATTCATTTTTCTTCATTCACTACATCATCAGTGCCTGCTTTTAGAATCTGAGTACAGCAACAACTACCTCATAATTAGATTGTATGCATGTTGGCCATTGTAGGGACCTATTTTAGAAGCTCTATGGATTTTTTGTGGTAAACCTTTTCATCGGTTAGTTGAGCGGTCTCTTTTTGCATGTGACCGACAGCTACCAACCTGTGCTTCGGGGAGAAGAACGTGTACACGTCGGAGGTTTTGGCGGTGGTGATGCAGCAGCTGATGGAGCAGAGCCCCCTTCCCATGCTGCTCATGCGCACCGTCATCCAGTCCCTCACCATGTATCCCAGGCTGGGAGGCTTCGTCATGAACATCCTGTCCCGCCTCATCGTCAAGCAGGTCAGCGCCAAGCTCCAGCCAAATATTCAGAGTTTCTACGCTCACTATTTTTCCTGATTTCCAGAGCAATCTGTTCTTTTTACTTTTTTGGATGATTATTTTTTAACCTTATATTTTAAAAAGTGAAAGGACCTTTGTCATCAGACATCTGGATCCTGAAATAAAAGAGAAACAACTGAGCTGTCTTTAGTGGCATTCACGCAGCATTAGAGAAACCCCGATTTTGTACATGTGTAAACTACTTCACAAGAACACCAAACTCTGAGTTTTTGTTTTTGTTTTGATTGCAGACCCCTACTGGCAGACATAAATATTATGACAGATATTGTGTGTTTGACGTGTCAGAGACTCTGCCACTTAAGAAACGATTACCAATAAAGTTGTATTTTTCTGCTAATAAATATCAATCCCCATATTCCACCATTACCACAACATCCTGTGGTGTCCCCCTGTAGGTGTGGAAGTATCCTAAGGTATGGGAGGGCTTTGTGAAGTGCTGCCAGAGGACCAAGCCTCAGTCGTACAGCGTGCTGCTACAGCTGCCGGCCGCCCCGCTCAGCAGCGTGTTTGAGCGCTGCCCAGAGATGAGGGAGCCCCTCCTGCAGCACGTCCTCTCCTTCACCCCTCACCAGGTCAGAGCTGCTTCCCCTGAAACAGTCCCAACACTCTACTGTTCTCTGGATTTCATCATGTACCATCTCCCTCTGTTTTTCTGTGCAACAGCAAGCTCACATACCTGCCTCCATCATGGCGGTACTGGAAGCAAATAAAAAGCCAGAACCAAAGCCTGTGGAGCCTGTGGTGGTCATAGAGCCTGTCGTAGAGCAAGAGGTAACCCATAAAGAAACACACATCATCGATAAAGCCTGCACACTTTCCCCCCCATAAACTGTTCTGATCTTTCCATGACAGGTATTATGATTTTGCTTGAATCGTTAATTGGTGTCACGTATTACAAACACTGCTGGTGTTTCACCCAATTTGACCAATGTCTCAAAAAAGTCAAACTTACCCATAAGTTGTTTGCTTGTGCTTGACCTCAGTAGGAATTTTTTGGGATATTCACAGTACATGCTCCATAACCATAAATCCTTACGGCCCGTCTACACTACAGGCATCGAAAAATGCTTTCAACGCTTCGCCCATTCACTTGAATGGGGTGACGTAGAAGATTTTTTAATCTTCGCCGAACTGCATTGTGGGGAGCATGGCATGGCTTTGCAAGCATCACGAGCATCTATCGGCATCAAAAGTTGAACAATGTTCAACTTTTGAGGCTCGATGCTTGGCATCAGCCAATCAAATCCCGTTTATGCAAATCCCG